AGCGGGGGTTCTAAGAAGTACACAGGGGTAGCCTGATAGGCAACGACTGTCTGAAACGCGTGAGACGACTGACGCAGCACTGACAAACAGTACACAATTTGAACACGCTTCGCCAGACATCCGCACGAGAAAGCACTTTGAAAACAGAGGGGAGAGCGCCACATGTTGTAAACGAGTTACTACAATTCACACGGGTATCTGGAACCTTTTCACACACATGTAGGGTGGCAATGGCGTCATGATGGGATTGACTCAGGATGCGCTTCATGATTGCCAACGTGTCTAATGACCTTCGTGTCTGCAATCGGTGAACATGTGTGGAAATCTGTGAAGTCCTGGAAACTTCTGGAGAATCTTGGAACGTCTCCTTATCATGCCCTCTTGCTCTTCTGATTCGGCCTGCGAGACCACGACAAAAACCACATTCTGAGCACGAGTCATCCTCCGTCCAAGCAGCTCGTCCACTTCAACCCCTTCCCCTGTCTCCATTCGTAGCGCTCGTACAAGATCGTAGCCGCGTGACTGGGGTGAGACCACGGCCGACTAAACAGTATTGCATGTTTGATCATGGACTGTGGCCATATGACAGGGGTGATAGCTCGGCCATGTGCACCGTCTTGATTTTTCATGAGGGGTCGTGGCCGTGTGACGAGGGTGAGAGCACGGCCACGTGCACCGTCGTGCAGACTTTTGTGCAAGGAGTGGTTGACGCGTGCCAAGGGTGCGGGAACAACCATGTCCACCGTGGTGATGTTTTGCACGTGATCCTGGCCGTGGGGTGAGGGTGAGAGCACAGCCATCTGCAACGTCGTGCATTTTCCACCATGTTTGTTTTACACAACAAAAGATGGCAGCGTGACAAGGGTGGGGGGACGGCCATGCGCACCGCAATGTACTTGTTGGCCAGGAGCCGTGGCCGTGTGCACGGCCATGTACACCGTGGGCGCACGGCCATGTGCACCGTAGTGTAGGTTTTGAAAATTCGGCGGTGGACAAACCTCCCTTCAGTAAACCTCCCTTTAATGAAATCGGGCCTGGGACCGAAACCGACGGACCTGGACCCGCAAAAATGACAACCGCGACGCCCTCTCGAGAGCTGAAAACGGTCAATTCACTAATCGACGTGTCAGGGTAGGAGGTCTATCAACCTCCAAAAAAAATGAGGATCGTAGCCGTCTGAACCAAACATGTAATAATGAAGCGAAAGCACGACTCCGGAATACACGGGGAGGAAATCACGCACAAGTAAGATTCTGGGCAAGCCGCGGCAAAACTTGCCCCGAGCTCCCCGTCCCCTTTATGGGTCTTCTGTGTGGTTTTCTCTTCTCAGTTGTTAAGCCCTCTAGCTTGCTTGAACGCTGTGGATAAAATTGCGACATCGCGAAACGTCAGAGCCCTAGACCCCACGCTTCTGCTCAGAGTTGTCTCGAGCACGATCGATGCGTCACGGTCCCGGGGCCCGAAATTGGGGTTGGCAACTCCTGTTATGCCATCGCTCGGAAAACTATTCCCTGTGCTGGCTTCGGGCGTACATTTTGTGGCAGGATCCAAGCGAAATCGCCTGTCTTGCACTCGCTCGGACGTCCATTCCCCTTGCATGTTTCGTTTACGTGATTTTGTCGCAAGATGGCCCACGATGCTTTAAAGGCAAAACGTGTATTTGGGACGGGTATCAAGGACGTAGGACCCTTGGAGTCCGAAGTTGGGATTTTTGCGGCGGCGGGCGACCAATAAAAATCGCAAAAGACGGGCCGCAGAGGCAAGGACACGTACCCTAGAAAAGGCGCGCGTTGACTGTAAGATGATCGTCGGTCCCCGCCGAGAAAAAAATACCGTCAGATGTAACCAAATCCATTCGAATCAAGTGACAAGAGGAGTTTGTCCAAACTTGCCAAGACAACGGCAGTGCAGGCGCCGTTGTATGTTGTGCAAGCTACATGGGAAGCGCTAGCGTGGCACGACTCAAAGGTCAACAACATAATGACGAGGAGCGAAGGCCCAAGCTTGACGAGGACATGGGCACGGGAACGAAGGACCGTCAGCGCGGCAGCGGCAGAGGGAAGGTGGCAAGGGGCAGAGGACGGCGACGAAAAGTGACGGGAAGAGACCGAAGAGTGTTGCTTTCGTCGGCCGTACGCTAATGAAGCAGCGTTGTATGCGTCATGTTGAACGAGGCGACTGTTTCTTGTGAGTGCAAGAAGCGAGCGAGGCCTAGCTCGCCCGTCAGCGTCCCTGCTTCATTTCTGCACTTTTCAGTTCGGAAGCCAACGCTCGAAGGCGTGCCGCCAGGTCTGCGGGCGGCCCGCGACAGCGCCCCGCTGGACCCCCCCGCAGCATTCGAAAGTGGCGACACTTTCGCAGGTCGCAGTCCCGCAAGGATGAGGTCTGATCTGAGTCTACGCAGTGCGTCACTATGCTGAGCCCCCCGGCCGCCGTCGAAGGTGGCAACCTCTTCGCAGAGCGCACCACCCCGGGGATGGCGAGGTCCAATCTGAGTCTGGGTTGTGCCTCACTCCCCTGGACCCCCCCACAGTCCTCGAGAAAGGCGACAATTTCGCAGATCGCAATCCCGCAGGGATGACCAGGTACAGTCGGGGCGTTGACCTAAGGAACCCTAAATAAGGAACGAGGCCCCTATTTTCCATAAGTTGAACTTCGATTTCGTATCGAAAACCTAAGGAAAATCCAAGGCAAGCTGCGAAACACTTAAGGAACACGGAGCCCCTCTCCAACGAAAAGGGTTCCTTCTTCAGGGCCCCGACTGTAGGAGGCAAGCTGGCTGCTGGCAGCAAGGAGCGAGGTTCAGAGGCAGCAGGGAGGAGAGCAGGGGGTGGGGGGGGGGCCGGGAAGGGAAGGTCGCGACCGCAGGGCTCTACTCAAAACGCGTGCCCAACGCAGGAGGTTCGGGAACTGTACGCGTCCGAGCGATGCTGCCAAGCTCAGGTCGGGCACGTCCCCCTGCAGGCGGGTCTTGGACGAAAACTTAACAACAATACCCTACAAAGGCTCAAAAACAACCAGAACTAGTCAAAAAATCGTCCTCGGACTATTTTTTGACTGCCTTTGATTCATTTCTCCTGTAGATCGGGAGCGGCCAAGAGGGGGGTGTCCAAGAGGGGGGGGTGCAAATCATGACCGGCGACATCTGTGCGGCCCAGCGGGGGGGCCAGGGACGTGATGAAATAAGAGGAGGCGCCATAAAATCTGAGTAAATATCATGGCCCCCGCCATGATATCCACCCCCCCTAGTCATCACCCCCCTCTTTTCCGCCCCCGATCCCCATATGTTCCCACAGTTTCTAAGTTTCTGTCTCCCCCCCCACTTCCCAGATCTTCCCATATACTTCCTGGGGAATCGAGGATTCATTGTGCCTGTGTCGTTCTTTTCCTCCTGAGGCGCGGCCTCGCGGAGGCCCTCGGGCCGTCTTCGAGCAGGAGGTCGACGGCAGCACCGAGGTGCGAGCTGCCCGCCGAGGGCCTGCGAAGCGTCTGTGTCTGTAGGGCGTTCGCGCGTCTCTGCGGACACGCTGCTCCGAGTTGCTGGAGAAGCGTCGGGGGGGCGTCACCCCCGCCGAAAGCCGCACAGCGACCCCCGTCGCGGGCAGCCACCGCGCGCCGAAGGCGCTCCGACCCCCGCCGCGGGGCGACGGCGAGGCGAGGCCGACCCCCCGTCGGGGGGGTATACCCCCCCCACGCTGATTGGGAGGCCTGGCCTGCGTGTTGGCTCGCACGTCATGCGGAGGCGCCGGGGCGAAAGTCGGCCGCCACTTTGTCTTCGGAGGAGGCCCCCGGGAACTTCTCCGAAGGCCGGGGGGGGGGCCGCCGAGCGCTCTTGGAGCAGGCCCGCCCGCTCTGCCTTTCCCCCCCTGGGCTCGCCGCCGAGGGTCGAGTGGGGGATCGGCCACAGAATCGACCCGCCCCAGCTGCGATTTGCCCGTCGAGTCTACGGACGATTGCGCAGAGGGCTTCGTAGATCTGCGGGGCCTGCTACGCTTTCTTGCACGTGTGAGCTCGGCGAACAATCAATTCGGGGGTAAATCGATTCCGTAGTAGATCCCGTAATTACGGCAGGTTCGTGCAGCGTCGGCGCGCGAAATGGCTTTTGGCAACGCATGGATCGTTCAACCTTGCATCGATCGCGGCCCCGATCGTTCGAGGCTGAATTCCGTCGGGTCCAGTAGCGTCTTCACGTCCCTCGGTGCTTCCGCGTCGCAGAAGTCAGCCTCGAACGCCCTCGCCGGCGTCGCCGGCGCGCCAACGCCGCACGAACCTAGGTAGCGGATCCCCTGCTCGAGAATCGGCGGCGAGCGAGGGCGGAAATGAGAAGGAGAAGGCCTTCTCAGAAGGCGGCGAGACTTCTCAGAAACCCTCGACACACTTTTTGTTGTCTTCGAGAAGAGCTTATAGAAAACAACTTCTCAAAGGCCAGGGGGGACTTCCCAGCCTTCTGGGAAGGCATCCTCCTTTTCACTTCCCCCCCTCGCCCGCCGCCGAAATGAAGAAACCCAATCTGAAATTTGACGCGAGCTCCCGCTGCAGACATCCCAAAAAGGCAGTGCTTTCAAACTCCGGGAGACGCGCTCGTCAAACAGCGCCGGCACGCCCGAGAGTTCCGGCGTGCTCGAGTCTCTTTTTTTTCACCTGAGCAACGCAAGTGCGGACATCAAGGAAAAGCCGGCCGAAGGCTCTGGCGTGCTCGAATCTTGAGCCTGCCCCATCCTTTCTCCGGGTCCGGCTCTTCGTCCCGAGTCGTTTTGGACGGCCTTCTCCTTCTCACTTCCCCCCTCGCTCGCCGCCGATAGGAGGGGCACAGTGATGGGCCTGTTTCCCACCACCACCACCATCCATAAGTTGGAGGGCGGAAGGAGGAGGACGAGGACGAGGACGAGGACGAGGAGGAGGAGGAGGAGGTGGTGAAGAAGGACCCCCTCCCCCTCCAACTTCTGGCGGTGCTGGACGACAGGCCCACCGCACAGGGCGGCGGCGCAGGGGGCGCGCGCCGTCAGGCCCTGCAGGACCTGCAGCGCGACGATCTGCGCGCGCGCGGCGCGCGCACGGGCGGCCGCTGGGCCCGAGGAGAGCGGGGCCCGGGGCGCGCGGGCGGAGCGCGGGCGCGCCGCGAGGGTCGGGTGCGAGAGGGAGCCCGGGGTCGGGCGCGCGCGGCCACGCCTGCTTCCCCCCCCCCCCATTGATCGACCCCCCCCATTTATCGCCCCCCCCCCTCTCCCATTTATCGCCCCCCACCCCTTTCTCCCCCCCCGTTGATCGACCACCCCCCTCCTCCTTCTCGGCCGAAGAGGGCGCCTGTCTCCCCCCCCATCTATCGCCCCCCCCACCCCCACCCACTCACCCACCCACCCCCCGAATTCGCGCCCAGCACGCCTCCGCGGTCGGGAGTCCGCAGCACGATCCGGGGGCTGCGCGCTGGAGTCAACCCGTGGAGCAAGGCTGCGCCAGTAGGGGTGCGAGGGCCTCGGCGGGCCATGCCGGCGGCGTGTTTCGAACGAGGCCGGCCGGCGAAAGTCGGTGGCTGGCGATTTCCCTCCCCCCGAACTCGCGCCCAGCACACCTTCGCGGTCGGGATTCCGGAGCACGAGCCAATGGATACGCGGTCGCATGGGTACGTTCCGCGCGGGGCACCCGCGATCCACAAGGTCGCTGCCCAGGGTCCCGGGCAACGAGGCCGTGGGTACGGAGATCCGATTCCCGCTCGCGAGGAAGGCAAGCCAAGGCGAGGCTGGCAAAAGGAAGTTCGCGGATCTCGGGTGGGTGGTAATAAGGGGTGCCCAGCCCGCGGATCGAATCTCTAAGCTGGAGTAGTGGGTCTGACGCAGCGGGTCCGCGGGGAGAGGTGGAGTAGCACTTGCAATGATTGGTGGCTGGATGGAACGATTTGCGCAATGGATGCAATGGTCCCGCCCCATTTCGGCACGCCCTTTGCACGCTGCGTGGCACCAGGAAGAGATCCACTGGAGGCGATGCCCACAACGGCGATACTCACAACTGCGTATGGTTGGGCCCTTCGCCAGGATCATTTCTGCAGGCTCATGCGGCAAAGCAGGTGCGTGCCAGTGCCCGCTCCTGCGGGCGTAGCCCCTGATGTGGCCAAATGCGGCCAGACGCGGCCACTGCAGCGCTCTGAGAACCACGCTCATGGAAGGCTCGTACACGCGAGCAAATCGATCGTCGACGCGCCAAACTCACGTCGAGTGGGCAGCAATGCGCAGAGTGGGCGTTCCCCTACTGGGGCCACTGGGGCGTTTCTCTGGCGAGGTCGCACGAGGTCGCACAATGCAATTCCCTTTGGTGTCCGTTCCATGGGAGCCTGCGTGGCCCCCGGCACTGTCCAATGTGGGCCTGATTTGGACCGGATTTGGAACACATTTGGACCGGATTTGGAACAGACTTGGACTGAATTCGTGGGGGGTAGGACAACGAGGAGGGGGAGGGGGAAGAGGAGGGGAGAGGAGAAGCAGGAGGATGTGCCAAATATGGCCCCGACACTGTCCACATGTATGAAAAGCTGATTTCAATGTCGCCGTCCAAGGCGCCCATGAACAGATACCGAAACATCCCTACTGGGGCCCCGGCTGGCTCAGCGTAGCATAGCAAAACGCAAACAGGCATAACATTGGCAACTACAGCCTTTGGACACAGAGCTGTGTTTGAAAATGCCTCCAAAGCTCGAGCAAGAAGCCAGCGTCACCGTCGACGACTTAGCCCCCCCCCAGTGTAGTAGTAGTCGTAGTGGTAGAGTAGTAGTAGTAGTAGTAGTAGTAGTAGTAGTAGTAGTAGTAGTAGTAGTAGTAGTAGTAGTAGTAGTAGTAGTAGTAGTAGTAGTAGTAGTAGTAGTAGTAGTAGTAGTAGTAGTAGTAGTCGTCGTAGTAGTCGTCGTCCATCGTAGTAGTAGTAGTAGTAGTAGTAGTAGTAGTAGTAGTAGTAGTAGTAGTAGTAGTAGTAGTAGTAGTAGTAGTAGTAGTAGTAGTAGTAGTATACAACGTCGTAGTTGTGGTAAAAGGAGTAGTCGTAGCAATAATAGAAGTAGTAGCGGTAGTCGTAGTAGTAGTAGTAGTAGTAGTAGTAGTAGTAGCAGTAGCAGTAGTAGTAGTAGTAGTAGTAGTAGTAGTAGTAGTAGTAGTAGTAGTAGTAGTAGTAGTAACAGTAACATTTAAAAATTATCCAGGCGAAAGACCCAACCATAAGCAATTGTTGGTAACGCGTTGTGGGTGCCGCTTTCGGTGGGGCTCCATATGGGGCCACGAAGCGCTGCCTTGGATGGGGGAACCGCATGCGGACTGCGCCACCGGGGCGGGCCTTCGGTGGAGCTCCCTATGGGGCTACGAAACGCTGCCCTGGGTGGGGGAACCGCATGCGAACACCCCCACTGGGGCCTTCGGTGGAGCTCCCTTTGGTGCCACGAAGCGCTGCCCTGGGTGGGGGAACCGCATGCGAACGCCCCCACTGGGGCCTTCGGTGGAGCTCCCTATGGGGCCACGAAACGCTGCCCTGGGTGGGGGAACCGCATGCGAACAC